GGATCTATCTTATGTTGAGGAGCCAGTAGCTATTTTGGGCAGGCAGGTTCGAAAGCTGAGGTCAAAGAACATTGCTTCCGTGAAGGTTCAGTGTGAGGGGTCAGCCGGTCGCGGAGGCGACTTGGGAGACCGAGCGGGATATGCGCAGCCGTTATCCTCATCTTTTCACCACTTCAGGTATGTCTTTATGCTCGTTCGAGGACGAACGATTATTTTAAGAGGGGAAGGATGTAATGACCCGGTCGGTCGTTTTGAGAGTAATAGCCCCGATCCCCTGTTTACTGTTTTTCCCGTACCTTATTTTGCTTATGTGACTTGTCGGGAGGTCTTGTTTTTGGTTTCGGAGTGTCTTGGGACACTTAGTACCTAAAAATAGAAGCTTAAGTCTTAGGATTTTGACCATAGTAAGAATTGTGTGAAGACGACTCTGGAATGGAGTTTCGTCGGTTCCGTTAGCTCCGTTCGATGATTTTGGACTTAGGAGCGTGTTCGAACTGGGAATTTGAGGTATGTAGCTGATTTAGGGTTGAATTGGCGAAAGTCAAACTTTTGGAGATTTTGACCGGTAGTGGATTTTTTGATATCGGGGTCGGATTCCAATTCCAAAAGTTGGAGTAGGTCCGTAATGTCGAATATGACTTGTGTGCAAAATTTGAGGTCAATCGGACATGGTTTGATACGTTTAGGCATCGGTTGTGGAAGTTCGAAACTTTGAAGTTCATTAAGTTTGAATTGGAAGGTGATTCGTGTTTTTAGCGTTATTTGATGTGATTTGAGGGTTCGACAAAGTCCGTATGGTAATTTAGAACTAGTGGGTATGTTTGGTTGAGGTCCCGGGGGCCTCAGATTGATTACGGATGGTTAACGGATCAAATTTGCTTTTGGAAGAATAGTTGAAGTTGTTGCACCTAGTGTAATCACACCTGCGCAACATTGACCGCAGGTGCGAGCCCACAGAAGCGAACCAATGGTCGGAAGTGTGGTTTGGAAGGAAGAGGCCAGAGGTCGCAGGTGCGAAGGTATAACCGCAGATGCGGAAGATGGAGCGCAGAATCGGAAGGGGCTAGGACGTGAGGGATCGCAGAAGCGGAAGAATTCCACAGGAGCGGGCGCGCAGGTGCGGCCCATTGCTCGCAGATGCGGACCCAGTATCTTTAAGTCATTTCCGCACCTGCGATGGAAATTCCGCAGGTGCGACTTTGGGCCGCATGTGCGAGATTTCTGGGCAGAACACTTAAATGCAAGAGTTCGCGATTTTTGCTCATTTTTAACATTTTAAGCTCGGGTTTGGCGATTTCTTTAGAGCATTTTTTAGGGATTTCTTGAGATAAGTCCCTTGTGCTTATTGTTGATCAATAATCTTGCTTCCCCATTTATTTTTCCACCTAGTTATTGTGTATTTAAGGTGAAATTTGGGAGTTGAGACTAAGGATTTGGAGAGTTTGATTTGAGGATTTGAAGGACCATTTGGTGTCGGATTTTAGTAAATTTGATATGGTTAGACTCGTGAGTGAATGAGTGTTTATATTTTGTGACTTTTACCCGATTTCGAGATGTGGGCCTGGGTCAACTTTTGGCGAATTTCGGAATTTTTGTTAAAGTATTGATTTCATTAATTAGATAAGTCTATTATAGTTATATTATGATTGCAATTGTGTTTGGCTAGATTTGGGCCACTCGGAGTCGGATATTCGAGGAAAGGGCATTCTTATGAATTGATTGAGCTTGGTTCGAGGTAAGTGGCTTGCCTAACCTTGTATGGGGGATTTGGTACTGTTGTGAAATGTGAGCGTCGTGTACATGATGTGACGAGTACGTACACGGGCTATTTGTTGTAAAACCCGATTTATTTTACTGAGTAGTAATCTGTTTTTCCTTTAATTTGAATTATACCGTTTTAATGAGTATTAGTCTGTTTTCATTCTTAATTGAGTTATTCCAACATGTGTAGCTATCCTGTTTAGTCTAATATCGCATGTCTACGTGCTTTAATTGCTTATTTAAACTCCGTGAAGCATGCTTAGTTGATTTCCTGTTTTTCCTTGTTCTTTATCAGTATAACTGTAGAAATCTTGATGTTAACTATTGTATTTATCGGTTTGAGTTGTGTGTTTTCTTTGAGACAACGAGGCGGTTCATCAGGAGTTCTCTCTGCACATTTACTTTTGAGAATACGAAGCGGTTCCTCGGGAGTTCTCCCTGTACATTTACTTTTGAGACTACGAGGTGGTTCCTCGGGAGTTCTCCCTGCATATTTACTTTTTGGACTACGAGACGGTATCTCGGGAGATCTCCTGTCAAGTATTTACTTTTGGGACTACGAGACGGTATCTCGGGAGCGCCCCTGTTGTTATCACATTGAGGTGTGTTGTTATTTCTCTGTGAATTCCTTTTATTAAATTCTCTGCTTTACTTCATTTTATTTTATCATCTGTCTTGTTATTATATCCCAGTAGGGCCCGGACCTGACCTCGTCACTACTCTACCGAGATTAGGCTTGGCACTTACTGGGTAACGTTGTGTTGTACTCATGCTACTCTTCTACACATGTTTTATGTGCAGATCCAGGTACTTCTTATTAGCCCTGCTATTAGCTTAGAGTGTTTGCTGCTGTACGGAGACTTCAAGGTACATCTGTCGCGTCCGCAGACCTCGGAGTTCCCCTCTATTCTCTCCTATGTCATTTACCTTTCGTACTTCTTTTGTTAGACTCTGGTGTATAGATATACTAATCTCCTTATGTAGCTTGTGACTTATGATGTTTCGGGTTTTGGGAAGACTGTGTATTTATGGAGTATTGGTTATCGTACATGCCGAGCGTCATTGTTACTAGTTATTCAGTTATCCACTGCTGTTAGTTGCCAAGTTTTACTTTCGTTTGTTATTTTCCGCGATTTGTTAGGCTTACCTAGTCGTAGAGACTAGGTGCCGTCACGATGTTATACGGAGGGAGTTTGGGTCACGACACAATCTCTCCAGTCTCTCTCTCATGGGCTCACAATGTCATAAAAATAGCCCAAAAATGATGATATGATATATCAATAAATAACAACAGAGACTGAGATATGATATGTAATGAAATGAATATGACTGAGTATGAATTTTCAATTTAAAATAAATAATTCACAGCAATATGACCTCTATGGGTCCCAATAATACTGGCACATAGCCTCAACATGATTTTTAATATGATTCTCAGCCCGTCACCTAGCATGTGCGTCACCTCCAAACAATTCACATAATATGTATATTAAGGGTTCATACCCTCAGCTCCAAGATTAGAAGAGTTACTTACCTCAACCTTCAAGCTCCGGAAATACTACAATGCTCCAATTGATTAAAATGTCCAAATATCACCCACAATTCAATATCTACCATTAGATATCCCAACTACATCAAAATAAATACGAAAAGATTCATAAATATCCATTTAGGCCTCATAATTCGGCAACAAGCCATCAACCATTCCAAATTATCCAATAGGCTCATCCATTAGCCTATTTAATTCCATTCTTATCAATTAATACTCATTTGGAGTCATTAATAATACTATATTAATTACCCACCATTATTAAGTTACTATTCATTGTCTTCTCCAACAAAACTCTATGTTCAAGAACACCCATTTCAAGAACTAGTGTTGTATCTTGTCAAAATGGTGATTCCCTATTCAATTCATTCATCAATTAAGTTACCAAGTATATTGGAATCATTAGAAACTCAAAACAATTCCTTTTATATCAATTCATCACTATTCATCTTCTTCTTTGTCCAAAATATCATTTTCAAGACCCTCCCTTAGGGTTCATACAATATCACATTACAACTTCAAATAAAACTCATAAACATGCTACCCATACTCCAATATGACATATATATGAAGCTCAAGTGAAGGGATTACCTCTTGGTGGAAGAATCTAACTTTTTCTCTTTTTGGTATTCTTGAAGATTCAACTCATTTCCTATGGATTTGATCCACAATAATGTTAGTATTATCACTAAATGATGTTATATAATCATCTTTGTACCAACATAACTTACCTTGAAGTATATTCATGGTAAAAGAGCTCCTCCTTCTCTCTAGAAATCCATTTCAAGATGAAGAACTAACTCATTCTCTCTCTGAACCCACATTTTTCAGCTCCTTAAAATGACCCTTGAAGCTGCGTAGCCTCCTGCGCAGGCTACGCACAAAGGCTACGCAGGGTGGACTTCCATTCCCTTTCAACTGGAAGTTGCTGGATTTGCCTGCGCAATGATGCGTAGGCTATGCTGCTATGCTGCGTAGGCTACGCTACTATGTTGCGTAGGCTACGCAAGACTCGCGTGGCTGTTCTGCCACCCTTTAGTAAAAAGTTCATAACTTTTTGTAGGAATATCCAAATGACAACTGTTTGAAGCATTAGAAACTAGACACATAGACCTTTCTTTTGATAGGTTATACACCATAAAATATTCATATCTTGAGAGTTATGCTCGTTTGAAATTAGGTCTTGTGCGAACTCACTTGAAACTTTATCCNGACACCGAAAAATGAATAAGATTACTACTTATTTTCCAAGAAATCCACGAAAAACATTTTTCGTTATACCAAACACACCCTAGGTGTTCAGTATTTTTTGAACGGCTAATTTAAAATTCAAGATATAAGATTCAAAATTTTGGACACAATTTTCGAACTTTAGAACACGATGTCATGAAATTTGAACATTGAGGTTAAAATTTAGGACATTGTATCCTGAAGTTTGAATGAATTGACTAATTTTTAAATATATTATAAATTATAAATATATTTTAAACAACATACTTAAAAATGCTACCTTGTGTCATTTCCCCAATTTAATTGATGAGGAAAATTCAATATTTAATACAGTATTTAAGAAAAGAAAAAAAAAGGAAAAAGAAAAAAGAACTCGAAGAGTCAACTCTAGTCTTCTCAAAGCCAATATAAAAGGTCCACAGGGTAGAAGTACCGATGCGATAGCAGATATTTTGAGGTATATTTACTTCCTTATTGCTCTCTTTTCCCGTTGATTTACTTTAATTGCACGTTTTTCATTAATCGTAATCTTAAATAATAATCATTCAACTGTTCGTTCAATGTGTATCAGTACTAAGAATCTAGGGTTTTATATGCTTATACGTAATTTGGGGTTTTCGTTTCGATCAACTATAATATGATTGTTTTGATTTGCTCGTATGAGAGTTTGCTGTAACTTCATAATGGATTGATCCTATCTTATTCTGCGAAATTGGGGTTCGGGTTTTGTATACTCTAATTTTCGCAACTTGTCCGCTCCTTTTCGTGGAGTAGTCATATTTGTCTTTATTGCTGAATTATTTATGAATATATGTCAGGTAATTGTTAAGCTTTAGTAATTTATGCGCTGAGTTTGAGCAATTGTCGTTTGAGCAATTAACTGCTATCCCTTCTTGTTTGCTTTTTCCAAGAGTCATTTGTTATTCTGCTAGCATATATCAGGACAAGTATATTTTTCATTTTAAGTCCTGATTTAAAGAAAGGTTTACGGCTATAATCCTATTATACATAATTTTCTCCATCTTTTATTGTTATCTTGACTGAGTTGTTTGGAATTGGTAGGATTAAGAATGCATTCTACAACTTTGGTTTAGAAACCCAGCAGGAAGAGTTGGAGGCATTGTGGTTATCATTAATGATAGGAAATTGGGAAAAACTAAAAGAAGACTGCTGTTGCATTGTCCTAACCTTTCAGTGACTAAACTGTAATTCCTACTTTTTTTTAAGGATGCTTCGTTTGACTTTGTGGTTATTGTGCATATTCATTTTTCCGCTTTGAAATTTGTGGTGAAATTTGATAATTCTTTAGTATTTTTGTTCCCCCTGTAGTACTGTGTAGGTTTTGTCTTGTACCCTTTGTTGTGTCATGCTTATATGTCGCGGAATGGTGTACTGCTGACGATTCAAATGTTTCTATCTTCTTCCAGATCTATTGGGAATCAACATCTTATGTACTTTTAGAAGTTTAACTTTTACAGACGAATTCTTACAGAAAATTAGATTCACTTCTCTGCTTTATGTGATTGGTATTTACCTTGGATAACATTTATACTAGAATCTGATGTTGGAATTCGGCGCTTCTTTAAATATATCAACTAGCATCTTTTTAAAGTGATCCTGGTGAAATAGCATGTGGCTAGTCTCTGTCTAGTGATTGCTTAGGAGTAAGAAATATGAAATATGGAATAGTTCTGACTATGCCATAAATAATATTCACCTAATGACTGACTATTGGTCCGATTGAATACATTATTATCTTTTGCATTATATATTTTACTGCGATTTCCACCCTCATTGTGGTATGGTCTCAGAGATATTTCTGGCTTACATGAAATGCAATGTTCTCCTAGTCATCAGCAAGCTCCAATTTACAACTATACTAATCTTTAGCATTTGTTGTACCAGAAAACGTATGCTTCTATGGTATAAGTTTCTGCATCTGAATAGGAAACAATTATACTGCCTGAGATAGGGTCTGTTCCAGGTAAAACTAAACAAGAAAAAACATGTAAACTGGTTGTTGTATCTAGAAAAAGAACATGTTAAAGATTCTTTGTGGGAGATTTCATTTGCTTAATAGAAAAATAAAACTAGTAGTTGCAAACTTTCTAAAGTGATTATTCGAATAATGTGTTCTATCATTAATTTGAGTGTTGCTGTTTGACAGTGGATTTTGCAATAATGGATCGTGGAAAAAGGCCAGGCCGATCGCTTACTGCACGAAATAATCAGATTTATATGGATCTTAAGGACATCGTCAGGGAACATGCCCTTCCCTTCCTGCCTGCCAAATCACTTTTCAGATTCACCACTGTTTGTAGGGACTGGAGACTCCAGATTTCCTCTCCATTTTTCGCCCACAATCAGTCACTTTCCTGTCGCAGTACATCAGGCCTCTTTCTCCAGACTCCTGGTGGTTCTTCTTCTCTCTTACCCATCGGCGCAAACTTTTGTGGGGTTCCAGATCCATTCCTTAGGTTTTTGCCTGAGCCTGTCGACATTAGGTCCTCCTCTAATGGACTGCTTTGCTGCCAAGGTCATGGAGTTGACAAGGCCTATTACATATGTAATCCCGTTACTCAGCAGTGGAAGAAACTTCCGAAATCAAATGCTAATCATGGATCAGATCCAGCAGTTGTGCTCTTATTTGATCCATCGTTGCTCAACTTTGTCGTAGAGTACAAAATTATCTGTGCATTCCCATCCACAGATTTTGGTGAGGCAACTGAGTTTGAGATATATTCCTCCAAAGAGGGTTCCTGGGAAATTGCCGGAGAGATCTGTTTTGGAGCTAGGAGGGTTATACCAAAATCGGGGGTTCATGTTAATGGTGTTGTTTACTGGATGACAACTGGTAGTATTCTTGCTTTTGATCTAACCAAAGAGAGGTCACAGCTCCTTCAAGACTATGTCGCTCGTGGGATTTTGGGGGCTTTTAGTGGAAAGCTCTGTAAGGCTAATGTCTCTGGTAATTCAATCATTGTATACATTTTGGCTAATGCCCATTCAAATACGATGCAAATGGGAAGCAATACCAGAATGTGGTCAGAGAAACAGCGGATTGTTCTTGACAGTAAAATTGTTGGGGATGTAGCAAGGGACTACTCGGTCTTACATGTTGATGGTGATTTAATGGTGGTTCATAGCGGGGAAAGAGTGTATTCATATGACTTCAAGTCCCGTGCAACAAAAGTTCTGAGCAATGTATCCGACATTTATAATATGCGATGCTTGCCCTATGTGAACAACCTAGTCTCTCTCTAATCTGCCTTGGCTGCTGTAGAAGGTTCTTTGTTTGGAGCTGCAACCAGCCTATTGGGGAACACAAGCTGTCTTTTCAGAAGAATGCTTGTCCTGAGGGAATAATATTTTTGGTGTTGTGTTGCAGTCTCTTATAAACAGCATTGGCCCTTCTCTATTTATTAGACTAGTTTTCTTATTAGTAACTTATTAGAATTACAGCTTGTGGACTACTATCTTAGTAGATCTTATTCAAACTCAGTGACTACTACTTTCTTGTCTGTGCTAACTTTTATGCTCTCTAACTCCCTAGTGTTTCTTCCCTTTTGTGCAGTTTAAACGCATTCATGTTGTAGAATTACAGCTTGTGGAGTACTAGGTCGAGATAGGAGTTCGTCCTTCCGGTTACAACTTACTTGAATACTTGTAAAGGTAAAGGGCATAATAGCAAGGCCGAAAAAGACTTTTCTACACGTGTAATCATATTTAAACAATCATTTACCGTGTAAAACATAGACTGTCAGCATATGACTAAGACCCATATTCTTATTTCCGTTTTAGTTTCGATTTTACGAAGGACCAATTATTTTTCCAACTCACATAATTGTCTCACCAACAAAGAGAGAACAAGTAGAAGAAAAATGAGAACAGCTCTTCATCGAGACAAGATAAGAAATATAAGCAACTCGTAATTCAAAAGTTGAAGGATCGATGTTTGCATTTCATGACCTTATAAATACATTTCGCGTAATCTGAAATTTTTTGTTTTAATTAACCTACTCCAAATATTTTTCTCAAATTTTAAATTGGCTCTACGTATTCCTTTATATAGTTTATATAAGGCAAAACACATAATTTACCCCCTAAACTATGGACCAAATCCCTGTTACACACTTTTTGCAGACAAAAATCACCTTACACACTCAACCTTTTAAGAGTGTGTCTAATACACACCATTTTGCTCACGTGGCTAGTGCGTGTTTTTTCCAACAACTGAAGCGCGTGAACATGAGAATTTTGTGTATGTTATTTTTTTTAGTTTTCTAAAAATTTTAAATTCAGTCATCTTCTTCATTGTTTAAAAAATTCACAGATCTGCCATGACTGCTCCTTAACACTTAGTGTGGGAGTATTTTTAAAATTTTAAATAGCCACGTGTCCTTTTAATTTTACAAGTGTCCTATCTATTTCCAAGTGACTTCTTGCATAAAGCCTTGTGGCCAAATACTCTTAGATAATTGGTACATGGCAAGAGTTTTTACATGTGGTATTCTTTTAAAAGATTATTTGACAAATGGCTCTACTAAGCCAAGTGGCTATGAATATCTATCATGTGGCCTTTTGCATGAAGATATGTGGCCAAATGGCTAAGCCATAAACAAGTGGCAATCATTTTTCATGCAATTAAACACTTGGCAATTTAAGAAGACCCCTAGTATCTCTATAAATAGCCTTCTTATTCATTCGTAAGTGCAATCAACAAAAATGGCCTTTTTTTACACTTTTCTTAGCATCATTGCGTTCTTCTTTGGCTAATCATTACTATAATTATTATTCCCACTATTGACCAAATCATTATCTGTTGAAATTATTTCTTTCCTTCGGTTTATTCCAAAACTTGCTGGTAATATTTAATTTTGTTGATTCCTGTATCTTCTAAATAAATAGAGTTAGGTTTGTTTAATCCTGGGGAAATTTCACATTGCTGAAATAGTTTTTTAGGACAGTGCCCAGCACGACTCAAGCCAATTCGTGTATTTCCGCACAAAATATTATTGCAGCATTATTTTTGTTATTTTCCCGTGTCATTTACCTACAATCTAAGAAACTGTGGCAAGTAATACTACTACGAAAATTTTTGATGATGATGCCAATTTTGATGTTGTCTCCACTGCTACTGTTCCAATTGTCCTGCCAGATATCCATGGTGTTGCAAATACATTATTGCATCCGCAGCTTGAGCAGGCACTGATATCAAAATACAGGTATGTAAATAGACATAGTTATATATACAATGCTAATATTAAAACCTTCAAGAAAAATGCACCTCAATGCAAGAGAAGAGTTAAGATAAATAACAATCTCGCTAAGTCAAAATTAAATTTGACTAAAGCGGATAACATAATTATTGCGGTCATTTTCCAAATAAATAGTGGCCAATGTGAGAAATTGGGTGATAGACTCCGGTGCTACTAGGCATATTTGTGAAGACAAAAACTTACACCCAAGTTGAGGAGGGAGAAGAAACTATTTATTTTGGTGACTCAAGAACAACTCGCGTTCTTGGGAAAAGAAAAATTCTTCTCAAACTCACATCTGGTAAAACTCTAGCATTGAGTGATTTGTTGCATGTACCTAATATCCAAACCAATTTGGTTTCCGTGAGATTATTAGGAAAGGTTGGAGTGGAGGTTTTCTTTGAAAATGATGAGGCCGTACTGACCAAAAATAATATTTTTGTGGGCAATGGATATTGTAATCATGGTTTATTTGTGCTTAATATTTTTTATACTAGATATGAAAATACATCTTCTTTCGCTTACATGGTTGAGTCAATTTCTTTATGGAATGCTAGATTAGGACATGTTAATATCGCATATATAAGAAAAATACAGTCACTAGGATTAATATATGGTTTAGCCTCAAATAATATTGACGAGTGTGAAATATGTGCTGAAACTAAAAGTATTAGAAAGACTTATTATACTATAAATAGAGAAACTGAATTATTATCCTTGATTCATACTGATTTAGGCGATTTAAAGTAGACTATGACTAGAGGTGGTAAAAGATATTATGTGACTTTTATTGATGATTTTCTAGATATACTAAACTATATTTGCTTAGAAATAAAGATGATACTTTTAATGCTTTTATTTCTTATAAAACTGAGGTTGAAAATTAACTTAGCTGAAAAATCAAGAGAATTAGATCTGATAGAGGTAGAGAAGATTTTTCTTTGAATGATTTTTGTGAAAAAAGAAGGAATAATTCATGAAGTAACTCCGCTTTATTCACCTGGGTCTAATGGAGTTGTTGAAAGGTAAAATAGAACATTGAAAGAGATGATGAACTCCGTGTTAGTTAGCTCTAATGCACCTGATAATTTGTGGAGTGAAGCTATTTTATCTGCATGTCACTTACAAAATAGAATACCACATAGAAGAACTGGCAAAACTCCGTATGAATTGTGGAAGGGTTATAAACCTAACTTGAAATATTTAAAAGTGTGGGGGTGTCTTGTTAAAGTTTTGTTGCATGAACCCAAAAAGAGAAAAATAGGTTCTAAAACAGCCGACTGTATGCTTATTGGATATGCTGAACATAGTGATGCATATAGATTTCTTGTTTTAAAAAGTGATGTGCTTGATTGCAATAAAATAATTGAGATAAAGAATGATGAGTTCTTTGAATATATTTATCCACTATTTGATAAAATTTCTCATACACTTGTTGAAACAAATAATAAAATTACCTCTAACGAGGAACTAAGAAGGAGAAAAAGGCCTAGGAAGGAATATTTTTCTTATGGAAATGATTTCCAAACTTTTCTTGTTGATAATGAACCATCGAATTATTTTGAAGCTATATCTTCTTCTGATGCTGATTATTGGAGAGAGGCTATAAAAGTTGAAATTGATTCTATCATGAAAAATAATGCATGGATTTTAACTGATTTACCTCCTGGTGCAAAACTTATTGGTTGTAAGTGTATTTTCAAAAAGAAATTTAATCCTGATGGATATTTAGATAAATATAAAGCTCGGTTAGTAGTAAAAGGGTTTTCTCAAAAGCAAAATATAGATTATTTTGATACATTTGCACCAGTGACTAGAATATCTTATATTCGAGTTTTAATTGCCTTAGCTTCAATCCGTAAACTTTTTATCCATCAAATGGATGTCAAAACAGCTTTTTTAAATGGTGATTTAGAAGAAGAGATTTATATGGTTCAACTTGAAGGTTGTGTCATTCCTGGACAAGCGTGAAAATCAACTAAACAGGCGATCATTGCTAGATCGACTATGAAATAAGAGTTTGTAGCTCTAGAGTTAGCTGGTTCTGAGGCTGAGTGGCTAAGAAACTTCTTAGCTAATATCCCTTTAATAAAGGACGTATTGCCTCATGTGTCTATGCATTATGATTGTCAAGCGAAAATAGCTATTGCAAAGAATAAATCTTATAATTGTAAAAGTAGACACGTGAAATTAAGACATGATGTCATAAAATAGCTGTTAAGAGATGGAATAATTTTCATTGACCATGTGAAGTCAGAGATAAACTTGGTCGATCATCTGACTAAACCCATGGGAAGAAAATTAATTCTTTAAACCTCAAAAGAGATGGGGTTAAGGCCGACATGTTGTCAATAAAGATGGTAACCCAACTTATGTGTCACGACCCAAAATTTCACCACAGGCGTTGTGATAGCACTTAGTCTTTAAGACTGGGTAAACCAATTACAATTACAATTCAAGCCATTTTATCAAAACCAACAAAGAAAATAATTATAACACTTTCCCAAGACTGGTAATACTGAGTCACGAACTCTAACTGAATACATGCAATGAATCTCAAAGATCTAATATACAATACTGTTCGAATAAGAGTTGACAGTACAATAAAATGGAAAGACTCTGAGAGACTGTGACGACCAAGCAACTCTACCTTGAATCCTTGTGATCAACACACTAACTCTGCCCTAGTCTTATATCTCCAATACCTGGAGTAATGACCCAAAATATCATCTTTAAATTTAATAATTAATTTTATATTCTAAGATCTCAAAAAGTACTATTGATCATTCCCCGAATTGAGTGCGCAGTCCGTAAAATTTTTCGAAAATTTTTATGTGAAAAATGAATTAAAATATAAATTAGAGCTTTAAAACTTAACTGAGTTAACTTTGGTCAACATTTAGAGCAAACAGACTCGGATCAGTATTTTGATAGTTCCGGTAGGTCCGTATCGCGATTTGGAACTTGGGCATATGTCCGGAATCAAATTCCAAGGTCCCTAGCCCGAGATATGGAATTTTGATGAAAAAGTTAAAAGATTAAGTTCAAATAGTGATCGGATATCGAATTTTGTGCAAACGACCCCGGAATAGAATTTTGATGATTCCAACAGCTCCATATGGTGATTTTGGAATTCCATATCGTGATTAGAATTTTATTTGGAAGGCCGTAGTGAAATTAGACTTGAAATGGCTAAAATAAGAATTTAAATTTTAGAAGTTTGATCGGGGAGTTAACTTTTTGATATCGGGGTCGGAATCGAGTTTCAAAAATTTTTATAGCTCCGT